TGGGGGGGGGGGGGAGGGAGAGGGAAGGGGAAAGTGGAAAAAGGCAATATGGAGGCGGTAGTGAGTGTGGAAGGTAGTGACAACATCTCATGACACGACGAGGTAAATGCGAGTGAATTGGCGATTGACCGTGGGGCAAAAGGAACTGGGCGGAAATTTGGCGGATTCGAGTGAAGGTTTGTCGTGACGATATCAGGGAATTGGAGCATAGTTTGGAGATCTGGAAGAATTGGAGTGGAAGGTAGGAGATGGGCTGGGTGGTATTGTTGATGAAAGCGCAATAGTGTCTCAAAGATCACGATTTTTGTATTCCATGTAACACTTGGCGTCAGTTAGAATTGCCAAGACTGTGTGGCCGTGTCCCCTGAAAGGAAAGAATGTGCTTCAAAGGGCTGTAGGAGAGATGGGTACGTTGAGGGAAGGTGGGGTGGGGGAGGGGGGTGAGGGTGAGGGTGAGGTTGAGGGAGGGGGTTGGGGTGGGGTTGGTGGTGGGGTCGAAAGAGAGGAATGAATGAGAGTGCAGTTTCTCCAACTTACGATTTGAGTAAGTCCTCCAGTGTAATGTAGCCTGGATGCTGAGGTTGGACCATATCGAAAATTTCATCCACTACATCGCGAAGTGTTCGAGCGTCAGGTTCGTCTGGAAGAAGTTGGAAAAGTGATTTGACCAAATACTCCACACTTTTGACGCACAGTCGACCTTGTCCACCCGAGTCAACAATTCGGAAGAAGTAGGCGATTGATTGGGGCAGTTTGCGGTTCTCTATCGCTAGCATCAAGTCGACATAGACTCTGAAGTCCATTTCACCGCCATACGTGAGACATGATTGAAACACCCCATCCAAGAAGGCATCAGTGAGCGTTGCGTCATTGAGGCTGTTGGGAATGAGATGAATCAGTTACTACACTCCTTTCAGGTTGACGCAAATATCTGCCCAGTCAATTGACTCCCTAGTAATGAACTTGCTGTGATGTGGATTTTGACTCTCTACATAACCCATTAATTAGGTAGGCAATTTGCAACCGAGTGAGGAGAGTACTTGAGTTTAAATTGAAAATGAAGTGAAGTTGAGAGGCAAGAAGCAAACTCTACCTGTTTAACTCTTCTCGCGAGAGCATTCCACTCCTATCAGTATCCAGTAGAAGGAAATTGGTGTAGGCAATCATAACGCGTTGGATTGTGAGGGGGTTCTCCTCCAGCTGTGCCTGAGTCAAGGATGTGTTGGCCAGTTGAAAAAGTGGCTCAATGAGCTCAGAGGCAAGCACATCGAGGATCCGAATGCGACCGGCACGCAGAGGATCGAGGAAGAAGAGAAATGTGCGAACCACGAAACTGATGTAGAATGGTTTGTATTCTTCGTCCACTTCGTTTACCTAGTGGATAGAAGTGAGGCCGAGTGAGCGATTGTAAGGGAGAGTGAGACGCGACAGAGTGCACTGGTGTCACAATAGGCATGTGGCAGAGTAAAACGGGTTCCAGGTGTGTAGTTGCAAAGACAGAAGTGGTTGAACTGACCACCCAAGAATGAGTTGGTTCAGTCAATGATTGCATGGACATTTAGGAGAGTATGACATTTAAGCGATTAGATTCAAACCACAGAGTCGTGATGTTGCCATTTGTTAGTTTAGACTAATATCTCAATAATCGTCACAGTGAATCACTACCAAAAATGTAAACCCTTCACTCCATTACATGCGTGTCCCATTCATCTAATCCTGTCACTTTAGGTTCAAGTTTCAAAGATTCCCCAACCGACAAACTTGAAGGAAACTAATTCCTATCGTGATTGTTCAGTGCGTTATTATTGGATGCCGTATAGATCACTTCTCTCCGGATTGGCGATCAATCTGTCTGTCACTTCAATTGGTGTCAAAATGGAGCAATTCCCTGTGCTTTTTCTTCATTTCCAACCAATTTCACTCAATTTTCCCATCTCCTATGACTATTAACCTGTTTACATAATCGCCTTCTTGACGCCTTATTGAGCCTCGACTATCCACGCACCACTTACTTACAGCTCGCTTACCATTCACCTCAAGTGTGTTTCACTGGAAGAATTGAGTAAGTGATTGCGCTTGTGTCATGCGAATGAAGGCAGCTATACACAAAACGCAAAATGTACGTTCTCGCGTTAAAGGATATCTTGTCACACAATCACAATAGCAATATTCATCACAGAACTCATCTAATTACCAACTAATCCTCACACCAAGTGGCAACTGAGATGTGAACAGCCCATTCGGTTGAATGAGAGTTGCATTTAGCAAATCCGACAATTTTAACACCAACGGCACCTGTATATCAGATAGCTCCTCACAATGTGTTTCTCGTTTGCTATTATTACCGTTTTCCTTCTATGCACACCCATTCATCTGCCTCACTAGAATAGGGTAACTTCGCATCGCCTTCTGAACTAGGGCATCTCACGTTTGTCTGCCCAACTAGGCCTTGACTCAACATCAGCAATCCCACCAGATAAGTACCGAAAGTTGAGCTACTCATTCCCTTGAATGAGAGTGACATTTGGCAATTTCTCCAATTTTATCAGTAATGGTGGTTTCATAACTTCGTATCAGTTCCTGAATAGAATTGTGGTGTAATGATGGTTTGAACTCGAAGCTAAGTGGAAATAATCCTCTTGATAATGAATTTGTTTTGGGTAAATGATTAGGAATTGTAAAATGAATTGTGCTGTGTGGGGTTGGTGATTAATATTTTGATCACCTCAATTGGATTCAAAGAGATGTGCAATTGGATTTATGTATCATCCTCAATATCTACGAACACACCAAGGAATAATACTATTCAGTGGCGTGGTGTAAAAAAAGACAAAACTGTTTGCTTATGCGTTGGAGTTCAAATTGCTAATACCAGTACTAGCACGCAGAATCAAGCAGAAGAAAACTCTTTAACGATTGGCCTACAAGCAGTGAGTGCTGATGGTGAAAGTTGTGCATTGTTCGCCCACATGGAAGTGAATTGGTGTGATGTCTGGACCTTAGCCAATATCAACTGAAATCGACCAAATGAGAGAAGCACACAGTGCCTAATGACACAAAGGTAGTACAAATGCAAATGTGCCTCAATTTTTCAGAGCGAAAGGTGGTTGAATGTGACAAGCATGAAGACTGGCAGCGAGGGTGATTTCACGATTTTGATAATCATTGACACTTTGGTGGCTTGTAACCTTGCGTGTGAAAGTGAGCAGTAACTGAGGATGGACACATAACTACTCATAGGCAGAAACGCTACGTAATGGTGCATGTGCATGTGCATGTGAATGTCTTTAAGGTTGGGCATAAGGAAGATGGTAAGGCCATAATCGGGATGACTAGAAAAGGCGGTAACTAGAGTGATTATCAAGTACAAAAGTGCACAACGCTTTGCATAATAAGAGGTCAACTCATGGATAGACGTACGTGGCAAAGAGAAGGAATGAGGTCGGTTATGTAGGATTCGAGATCGACTTCTTGAAGATAGCCATCACCTCGATGATCATATTTGGAAAGTGCGATTCGCGTTTTCTGAAGGCACACGGTTTTCTTGACGAAGGCGAAGAAATCGTGAATGTTGATACGAGAAAGGCGTTCGGCGTGAGAGATTTTGGCGAAGATGGGTGCCGTGAAGAAGTGGCTGGAAGAAGGAGAGAGGGTAAGGGGTGGAGAAGGCGGTGTAGGAGGCAAAGGTGTAAAGAGGGGGAGGGGGGGGGGATGGGAATGAAGAGGGGGGATTAAGGGGTGAAAGAGAAGGAGGAAAGGGGAGTAAGGAGAGTAGGTGGAGATAAAAGATGAAGAAGATGGGAAATAGATGAGACGCACCTGACTTTGAGGCTAACTTCTTGCTTAGCCTTGAGGAAATTGGGGTAGGTGATGAACCACTCTTTTTCATCCACTGAAGCATCCTTCATCTTTTCCAAATCATTCCATAGATCCTGTTCAAATGATGTCACCAAAGCCAACATGACCACTTACGTTCAAGTCTTTGTCATCCGGAAGTTGCTCACCCCTGCTCTCCAGCAATAATTCCTCTGCCTCACATCTCTGCCTCGGTGTCAGCAAAACACTGTTGGTATTCTGCAAATCGCATTAATTAATTTTTATAGTAATTAAGAAATTAGTTAATTAGCTAATTAATTGCGTGACAATGGCGAACTCACCTTGGTGAAGAATTGATTAGAAGTAGTGGGATTAGTATCAATTGATCTGAACATTGTGCGAGCGTTTGGTAACAGTGCGATCAGTGAACAGACGTAGGCGAATTATGATGCTCTTCAGCTGCGCCAAGGGATTATATATGCAACTGCTCAAGGTCACGATGCTCCCCGATGACTAAAACCGCAATTTGTGAGCAAGCGTACTGAATGAATAGAAGAAGTGCATGTTAGTTCAGGTCATTTTAGTCCAAGTCATGTTAGTTCGGGCCAAGCAACTTATTTTATTATCTGGTGGTGCATGCTTGTACTGGTATCAACCATTTGACCTCAAACGCACAAGTAAACATTAATGACCTTTATTACACCACGCCACTTATAGTATTATTCCTTGGTGTGTTCGTAGATATTGAGGATGATACATAAATCGATTTGCACATCTCTTTGAATCCAATTGAGGTGATCAAAATATCAATCACCAACCCCACAGGCACAGCTGGAGGGCAATCGTTTCAATCTTCGACACGCTCAACTTGTCTACACCAGTTTTCTTCTACGTGGTGCGCACATTCCTCTTCTTCCTCGATCCTCTGCGTGCCAGTCGCATTCTTATCCTCGTTGTGCTTGTCTCTGGCTTCATTGAACCACTTCCCCAACTGG